ATTAGAAATTAAGTGTTAACGAGCAGTTGGACAGGTGTACCTAATAAAGTGGCCGGTGAGTGTATACCTTTGTCTTGAATTTGGAAAAAAAAACATCATATTTTATTGATCAATAAAAAGGGTTCAGTGACTGCGCATACGAAACATGTGGGTTCGGTACCTCAAAAAAGGTTGAGAACCACTGCTCTGGACAGTCATTTGACAAAAAATGTCAAGCACCCTTTGACTCAGTTCCACCTATTTCTTAATCTTTTCAGCCATAGTTTAGGTTTTCATCAAGATTCTTACTAATTCTTTTTATAACCGTATTAATCTTTTATACTGTAAGTAGTTATAAAACTTAATGGATTTTCTGACCCAAAGTGAATATTACATGATTTCTTTCCCCCTCAAGCTCTGCAGCCTTTGAGGAAGTATGTAGGAGCTGAGGGGCAGCTCAACACTATCTCAGTGAGGTAGGACTAAATCCCACATGGATACCAGATATGATTGGAAGTAATTGTATTTTAATGTCCAGGAGGCCCATTCCCACTTTGAGATAGTTTTTTTTCCCAATGGTTGAGTCTGGTGTGAAGAATACCAACATGTGTTTCTACTACTTTTGTATTTATACCTCTGAACATAGCAGTCAGCACCGCAGGCGGCAGGAGTTTATTGTCGCTGTTCCACTTTTGCTGTTTCGTGACATCATGTCAAAACACGTCCATCTCGCTGCCCCGGCTGCTCATATTTGTTTTCCCTTGTCGCTCTCAATTTAAAAGGAGCAATAATGTTTGTCAAATGTTACGGTGCTCAGTTGAGTTCATGGGGTAATGTTTTGAGTGGTCGTTACGGGTGGACGGCTGTGAGTTTTAAATGGAGCTCTCTCTGTTTGTTTTCCCTGGTGAGTCGGGAAGAGTGAAGTGGTTTTAGTTGTGGTCGTGGCTAAAGTAAAGAGATTCTACTGTCCATCTGTTCCACTGTGGGACTCACCCGTCAGGCCACACAGAGATCCTGAGATGAATGCTGAGACCTGCCAAGACAACCTGCCAGCTACAAGCCAGCCAGCTTCCATTGTGTCATCCAGAGATCCATCAGCTGGGGGGGGGGCAGCCGAACCACCTCATAACTGCTCAGGTTTCCAGACACTCTTTGTGATCAGTCCAAGACAACCAAATGCAACAAGTAATCCAACATTCATCCTGTCTTTCTCTTATCTGCTGAAGTTTCATGACACTGTGTGCAGACAGCTCATTGGATGATTGTGACAATTTCTTTTTTAAACACACGTTCATTAGGAGTTCATCAATGTAGGTCATTTTCTATTTTTCCTTCAGCTCTGTATGAGATGTTAATCATTTGTCATCACATATTTAGTGTGACTGTTATGCCAGCATATGAGTTACAATACACTCTGAGAGGGGTCTTTACTTGCTATGGACAGCTATTGTTCAGTTTATCTTCATTACAACTCAAAGCTAAGATCTTGTCTGCACAACACTAGGTATTTTTCTATTAAAATTGGTATTTTCTGCAGCCTTTAAACATGTTGTCCACATCCTGGACCATGAAGTGTAAAAGGAGCCATATCGTGCAAAATCCACTTTTCTAGCCATTAAACACATTTTGTTGTGTACTTGGAGTCTCTAGGAGTGCAGAAAATTTTAATTTAGTCTCTTCCTGTGCTGCTTAGATATCTTTTATATTCTGTTTGGGTTATATTTTTCAACCCATTCAATTTTCCCTATTTTCTATGGCATTTTCTGAACTATTTATACTGTAACACACAGTTTGTGATGGAACTTCTAAATAAGGTCTTGATTTACCAACAACAGTTTGATCATCTTCATTCTCTGGCTAGATGGCTAGGTGGACTAGTATAATGACATCTTTTGATTATTTTGTAAATAAAAGGTTTGTGTCACTACAGTCGTAAACCCCTCTATCAAACGGGAATGGACCGCTCTGGAAGCTGGAGGGGAGCGAGTTGTGATCACAAATTAATGAATTTTGTGTTTCTTTTTTATTTCTATATTTCTATTTTCTGTTCTTTAGCAGGAATGTTGTTTGCAGATGCTCTTTCAGGAAACAATCAGCCTTCAACAGCTACGATTTGACATCATCTTGTTTGTCTTTGTGTTTTTCAGAGCAGGTCTTCAGTTTAAGACACTTGATGGTTAAGTGGCGCCTGGGCTCTGATTGCTAACATATTGTAGTGGTTCATCAGGCTTAGAGACCGTCAACCATCAATCATTCAGTCTTTCAGGTTCCTCTTTGGCCTGACAGCAGGTAGAAGCTCAAGGCTACCTTCTCACAGAAACACACACAGACACGCTTGCATGCAGACAAAAACACACCTACATATGTTGTCACTCATGTATACATGTGCTTTGACAGATTCTGATGTTCTCATTTGGACTTTCCTTCCACACGCAGGTCTGAAATGGCTTCCATGTGCCAGCAGGCACTGATGGCTTGATGTAAGCCATTAGACCATGCTAAGCTGCTTCAACAAGAAGACCTTCTAACAGCTGGCCAGTTTTTGCYTGCTGCTTTTCCCCCTCATGTATCCCCCATCCCCACAACCACACACAACACACACACACACATTGGCTCTAGCCTGCACTTTTATGGATTTGTTTAACAGAACAGGCGTCTCTCATTAGTGGCCACGAATGGCTGGATRCTGATGATAACACACACAGTGTATTATGGCACAGAAGAAGGTGATGCTGAGTTCAGAAAGTTAGCTTTGCTCTTTTTCTTCCAGCTTCTTTGCCCTGTTTCCAGGACAGTCATCCAGCAGTGGCTGATGAATGCTTTGGGTACTGGAAAAAAACAAAAGTTTATTGTAGGCTTTGATGAGGTGAATGAGTCGTGGGCATGAGAAGTTGAGGACAATGCGTGAACGAGAATTTAGGATTAAAAAAAAGATAAATACTCACACAAAATGTGTACGCATAACCTACAAGTGTAAACTTTTAGATGACTCAACTACTATGGTAGAAACCTTTGCCTTACTCCTTAATTTTCACCAACAAACAATTTATGATCCATGAACTGTTGAAGTTTTGAACCAATCTATTGGCATATTTTTCTACTAAAAGCATTAAATGGAATCAGAGTTTGGATCAGTGACCTGAGGCAGAAATCTGACCCAAGAATGTGATCAGTATCTGAGCAGATATTAATGTTGGACCAGATTTGTCCTAACTTCAGAGTTTTATATCCTGCCTAMTMYCCCCMCCCCCCCCCCCTATATTCACTTACTTGTAGCAATTCTTTTATCTTCAACCCAACTCACTAACTTACTGTTTTCACTTGCCTCACAGTCAGAGTTTCAGTCTTGACTCTATTCTGGTCTTTCACTAACTCTCTTCATATGTCTCACTTGTGTTTCCTCTGCAGTTTTTTTGGCTTCTTTCACGTTTTCTTATCAGAAGGAGCTTGTTTTCTACCGCACCAGTGTGAGATTAAACTAAGGCAGAATATTAGAGGAGACTTTTTCTTCTTTTTTATAAATACCAGATATCTTTTAATGCCTGTTTGGCTGCCCTGTGTGAACTTTTAATGTTGGTCTGATGCTGGCTCAGATTTTCAGCTGGCTTCAAACCATAGTTCTGATAAAGAGTATAAAAAAGAATGAGCATGGTCTGTCCACAGTTATGTCTTTATTCTAAAAGTAGTTAAAAATGTTTTATGTTATGGGTTTTTGAACACATTTACTTGTATTTGCATGTTGATGTGCTTCCTTAAAATCACCATTGTCATTATCAATAAAAGTCACAGGATCAGTCTTTGGAAATGGTATCAGAGTTCAACTTGTGATTTAAGCCATATGTGTGAAAACATGATTAATATAAACACTCCATATGTGAGCTCATTCTTCTACCAGCCAGAGACGTGTGGTGGAGATGGTGTTTGTGGAGTTTGTGCRGACAGCTCAGTGTCATTACTGACTCTGAGTCCAMGGCTKCTGCTTCTCTGCTTTTTAGTTCATCTCCAGACTGCCACCAACCAGCAGACACCTCCAGAGACACAATAAAAACATCCCTCATACCACTGGTTATTAGCCAGCAGCAAGAAACTRCATTTAAGAAAACCGATAAATATAATGACCACATGTCTGAACAGATTCAGTCTCATCCTGTTGTCTGTCCCAGTTCCTCTTTCTCTGAGCTCCATTGTGTCAGAYGTTCACACAGAAAGTCTTTCTGTCTGTCTGGGGATGGTAGCATCAAAGACAGCTGCTTTAAGTCACAGCAGAGGTAACATGTGACCCTGACACCTGGTCTGATGGTGCCTCCGGCTGCACTGAACGCGCTCCAGTTCCTTTAAGTGCTCCAATTATCCTGTTAGCTTAGCAAAGATCCTGCCACTGTTTTATCTTAATGTCTTCATTTGTTTCTATCTTTTCATACACACCCCACAGACCTCAAGGAAATCGTTATCCAAGAGGAAAACAATTCACTTTCAGTATATTGTAAAAATAACAGAGTTTGCAAGCTAACAACATCTCTAAAGCGGTGTAAACAGAGCCAGTTTTAGTTACTGTGATAAAAACAGTTTCTGCCTGAGAAAAGAAACACTGTTGGTCAGAAAGCACGGCTGCTGCTGCACTGATCCAGGAGCAGTGGGTTAAACTGAGTGAGTGAGAGAGAAATGTAAAGACTTTTTAAAAACAAACTTTGGGAATGATGAAAAAGTAGCTGAGGAAGGAGCTGCAATCATGAGTAACTAGACATGGTGACTAAACAGCAAATCTGTCTGGATCTGGTTAATGTGCCTGAGGAAAACATCACGTGTGTGCTGTTATTCCATCTTAAATCCCAGCTTCACTGGTGTCTTAATGGTGTTAGTTAGATGGCTGCAACTTTACGTACATAATCTATATTCACAGGGAGAACAGAAACAACTTGACATTTAAATACTACAGAAGTCAGAATGTGTTTTATATTGGCTCATGTTTGATCACTCTTTTATTTCATTTGCAGGGAGCAACAATAAGACGTGACGAAGAGACGGGAGCCATCATTGTAGCACGGATCATGAGAGGAGGGGCAGCAGACAGAAGTGGTCAGTTCTGCTCTATTCTTCATTTTATTTATACTTCAACTGTGTTCATCTATCAGCAGTTTGGAAATGTCTGATTACATTCAGTGTGCAGGAAAGGGATGGGTTCAGGATTTCTGAATAAAAGTGAAAATAAATGACAAATATACTGAGAYATGCTGCTGTTTGCCACATGTTTTGTATTTGTGTGTTTATTCATTGTATCCARTGTGTTTTCCAGCTCTGTCACAGTCAGGCCAAAGGCAGGTTTCCACAGATGTGGATGATAACATTTTGACTCGTTTCCATTCCCACTGATCAGTGACTGTAAACATTAATTTGTTGCAYTGTACACAACCCCAGGCTTGGTGCACACTGGAGTTTTACACAGTAGCTCATTTGAGTCAGAGGTTTAGAGTAACAGACATTAGAGTGAATGYATAAATGGAGTCTTGGTGCTTTATTTAATCAGGACTGATTCATGCTGGGGATGAACTGAAGGAGGTCAATGGGATCCCTGTGGAYGACAAGAAACCAGAAGAAATCATTCACATGCTGGTACGGCTCATCTTTTTATGTACGTCCAAAGGTTTCTTCTGTGTTTCAGCTCTGCTCTCCGCTCTCTTGGTGAAAATAACAGTCCCTGTTTGTCATGGCAAAGACTTGTCTGAACTCCTCCAGGAGCCCGGGCCTCCCATGCGATGAGACTSATGCTGTGTAGTTCCTCCAAGCAGTTTTCTCTGCACGCCTCAAATGAGCTCCATGATGGGTCGGGACTTTGTCAGGGGAGACTTGAGAGTCTCTTAAAGTCTGCACCTTCTCAAATCTATCAGAGCTTTCCCCTCAATGCTCACATACAAAACCTGTTTTTATAAGCAGCCTTATTAAGACATTTTATTGACTTTTATTCATTATACAGAGTCTATCCACAACTGCCTAAACCCTAAATGTGCCTTTTGTTTGGACTTAGATGTAAATTTGCTATCTATAAAATCTTCAAATTTATGTTAAATGACAAACATCATGACTTACAATTAGGGTTGGACAATATTGACTGATATCACACGGCACTAATTGCAGTAATTGCAAAGTGGTRCATATTAATTTCTGACAGTTTTGCTGATGATTAATTGCACATGATACAATTTTGACCAAACCTACTTGCAGCCATTAAACAGTAGCTTCTTTGAGATATAAAAGAGAATCAATCTATAATAAATTAACTGAGTGACATGCATGTCCTTCAAATACAAAAAGTAAACAAAATAAATTATATTTAAGAAACTTRGCATAAAACACACAATTTTATTCATTTTGTCACATAACTTTCATATTTTCTTTAATTTGGCTTGCACAAAACAAACAGGAAGTGACATCAAAGRGGAACTCCTTAAAAATCTAATTCTCTGGTTTTTACTTATTAAAGCGAAGCTTGAACTCTCGACACTTCATTTATCTCTGATACTGACTCAAAATAATCTAAAAAAAAACATCAGTTTTTTTCCCTACAGTCTATCCATTGTAGTAATGCTCTGTTTACATTCAGACATTCCCCTTTGGCATCACTTCCTGTTACTTCACATGTGAATATCTCAACACCAGTTCATTTCAGTGGCATGAAATGTTTTTGCAAAAAGTTATCAGTGTTATCTTTCCAAAAATGCATTCAGATTTATTATTTAAAATTTGACGTCATTGGCACTTTAAAGGTTAACAACATTTGAAATGAAACATTTCTGTATAAAACGTTTTGTGATAAACACTGTTGTGTATCCAGTATAAAGCTAAATATTACCACACAGATGTTAGTTGTGATGTAAAACTTSTTTAGGTGGTTAAAACTAGATGTAATGCAACCCATTTTCAACTTATTTACCATTTTTACATGTTTATTGGCAGGGGTGGAGATATTTCTCAGAGCAGTTATTGAAAACAGATTTTAAAAACAAGATTGGATTAGGGTTGGACAGTATTGCTCATTTTCATACTGCGGTATGACCGTTTGAAAATACCTGGGTATACGGTATTACCAGGTGGGAGTGGGTGAATAATTAATGTTTAATGGGAAAATGGCTGCTTGTGAGCATTTATATACAAAAAGCCAGAGATAGGCATTTAAAAAAAACTCAGCTGCTCTGACGTTGCTGTCAATGCAACACAGCAGGAGTCACAAAATGAGTTTACCTCTTCTTATGTCAAACAGATCARACACAAGTCAAACTACGTCTTTTTAGAGTTTTAAGTTTCAAAATAAACTGACTTTTACCGTGGTCATTTCAAAGGTGTTGCATGCTTTTAGCAAGAAAAGTCTTTGTGCTTTGTGTCTTTGTTTTATGTTGAGGAACTTTGTGACAGATTTGTTTGTGAAATGTTGGTTTGAAATTGTACAAAGGATGTCTGCTATTTTATTTTCCACATATGTGTTTATGATGTGTAACTATAACTAGTGTTGGATTAGCTTATTGAGCTCTTAAAGCCTGTTATAAAACCTGGAGTCCGGATGAACTGAAAAGGAGACGTCACAGGTTTAAGGAAAGAGCCAAATGGAGAGCAAAGAGGAGAAACTGAAAAATGTTCCTAAACTTGATCATCAGGAGAAACACATGTTTAATGGCAAATACAGTTGATGAGCTTTAAACTCATAAGGAGGCCGTTTTAAAACAATTTCTTCCTTCTCAGTTGATTAAATTCACTTCAAGTAAACCCTCCTTTCTTTCTCCTGGTTATGGAGGAGTTGGTGCCATTGAAATAAATATAAAATATAAATTTTGCCTAAAACATAAAACAGGATACATATTTAATTAGAAATTATTCGTACTGTTTCTACTAAACGTGTTTTGTTTCTAAACCATTCAGTAGGATTTTTAATGTTTGTGTAGCTGAGTGTTTTCTAAAGAGCTTCTGTTTTCATCATCTGAAAGTACATCTTTTTTCATGGTCCAGGCCATCTCACAAGGAGCCATTACTTTTAAAGTAGTTCCTGGTATAAAAGAAGACACCCAAATCAGGGAGCCAAAGGTATGTATTGTTTTATAATTATGATTTTAAGAAATTCATGAATGAAACTTTGTTCATTTTTGTTCTATGCAGATTTTTAGCTGCTGTTACAAAACATAAAAAGTATGTATTGTGTGGCACAGGATGTAACTTAACTTGTACCTTAACTTTACCTGTAATTCAAAACTACTGAATCAAACTGGGCTGAACTCTTAAGAGTGTTGAAACAAAACAGCAGAGGCCCCCAACTGTGCTTCCAGAACATCAACACTTAATTTAAGGGAAATTCTTACAAACCAAGGAATCACTCAACCATTTTTTAAACATTTGCTTAGTCTTTTTGTAAAACAAAAAATTACCCCCACCAAGGTACCTACCTCAATAAACAAGGGGAAAAAAGAATAATGAAATAAAAACAAATAATATAAGAAATTAAAGACATACATTTCCTTATATATTATGTATTATCATCCACGCAACCCTGAAAAGGAAGAAGCGTGTACAGAAAATGGATGGATGGATGGATTATGTATTATCATACATGTAAAAGTGCATCACTGGGATATTCAATTTAGAATCAGTTCTGGACGTGAGAGGAAAAAGGTGCCAGTATAGTAACTTTTTTTTCTTTACTAAATAGGTAAAAAAAAAAAAAACTTGTAAATTAGTGCTCAGTTTTAGGCTTCATATTTATTTAACTAATAAAGCCAAAACGGACCAC